CGGGAACTCGTTCATTTCCTTACAGAGCCCCTTAGTACCAGTTTAAACACAAACTCCACCTTTGAGTTTGGAGTCTGCCTCATTAAAACAATGTTTCCTCCCCTTCTGCTAACAATCAACAATTGTTTAACACTTCTGTAGTACTTCTTTACCATGATAACAACAGCAACTTTTTGAGATGCCATTTAACATTCTTCCTGATTAATTGAATTTACTCTTGATGGGGCTGTCTCCTGTTCTAAGTGGAAATTGCAAGAAGACACTATTACTGCTCTGCCAGTAAATGTGTCAGACAAAACACTGTTTAGAATAACTGGGCAAAATAACTGTGGATTCTTCCTTACAGTGATAAGAAATAATATAAAGTAACAGTGTTTGTCAGATTAATTTGAAAAAATAATTTTTTGTTATTTAAACTGTGATAAGAAAACGTGCTCTGAAAATATACCCATTTCTTCTAAGAGCCTAATTTCTTTTAAGTACTTTCTAATTAATTTTGGTGTGACTTCATTAAGTTGTCATTTCAAGAAGATACTCCAATATATTTTCTTGATCAATAGTAGTAGATAAAAATATTAAAATTATGTTTAACTACAACATCAAGCAAAGTAATACAAAACCCAGCGTATCATAAATGAACAATGTGTAGCTGAGAAATGAAAAAATTAGAATTTAATACTCCAGGAAATAAAAAAGTTACACATCCTTTTCATAAAAAACTTTAATAACCTTGTTAACCATTACTTTGAGCAGTCCATGTGAGAATGTCTAAAATTAAAAAGCAGTAGTGAGCTTAAAGCTATGTTAAAAAGTCCTGTCAAAAGCTGTTATCAGTTTAATCATTCAAACAAAGTAGCAAATTTTACCATTTTATAAACTGGAATTCTGAGGAGATTTATCTTAGAAGAGCAGTAACTTCAGACATGATGTATTATATACATATATACGTGTATATATATATATACACATATATATACACAGATATATGTATTATATGAATCATGTTACATACATATTATAGTTGTCAGATGGTGAATTCTGTCTCGTTTTGTCAAGATAATACACTTAAAGATGGCTGTTCTATGAGGAGTACAGTATTTGGAATGTATGCAATGAATTTCAAGGCCCTTCAGGAACATGATATTGTCTCAATTTGAATGGCTGGGAAGCTTCACATTGACTCTGCTGTGCACTTTTAACTGAGGCTAAATTTAATGATGTTCCCATAAATCACCAAGTCCAGGCATTGTAGCTCAGCTCACACGGGCAGATCCTCAGTTCCAGAGCTCTGATTAAATCAACAGGGCTAGACATCAGTACTGATCTTGTGTGATTGGATTACAGGCTTGGAGCTGTCGTTTGTCCTACTGAAACCACTCTAAGGTACTTAAACAGAAAAATCCTACTATCAGATTTCTTTTCTTATTGATTACGCTTTCTGAAATGCAAAAAAAATAGAAAACAAAACAACAACAAAAAAAATCCCAACCTTGCTTTCTCCACGTAGCATTATGATAAGGTGCATGTAGGGGTGGAAGGACAACAGAAATACCTCAAGTGGAATACTAGTAAAAGTGTGATTTTCTTTTTCCACAAAAAGTTGTAAAATATTTTTGCTTTTTTTATTTCCTCTTAGCTCATGTCCAGTCCTTATTAACCCCACCCTCCCTGTGTGATCTGAACTACTTGACAATTTCTGTTATAAAGGAAAATCATGTCTAGGTTGCTTCCTGTCTCAAGTTTAAATTCATATTTCTCATCCCATGTTTCTGGCAAAATACCCTATCAAATTAAACCAAGAATACATTCAAAACACTTTTTTTTTTAGTTGGTTGGTCTTTCTGTTTTTTTCTCCATGAGTTTATTCCTTGCCTCTCAGGTTTCTATGTTAGGTTGAGAGGAGTCATCTTGTGTATCACATTATCTTACCATGGCTGGAGTATCTGCTTGGAGGCAGAAGAGCCCTCCCAGGCACATCATCTGTGAATTTAACAAGCACCTGTGAATAAAAAAGATTGACCAGAAATATTTTCACTTATAAAAGCATTATTTTATACTAACTACAGTAACAATAGCCCTATATAAAATGGAATCAAACCTTCAGACAGTGCTGTTTCAATAGGGGCCTTTAGAAAAACCAATTCCTATGTGTTGAACGAGAAACTGTTCAAAAATCCACTCAGGAATACCTAGAATTCCTTATGGATATCTAATGGAAATATATTAGAATTAACTGTAAATTGACTGAGTAGCAAAAAAAGCTTGATGAGCTGACTGTAACAAAATACCCAGTGATGAAAAGATCTGCAGGCTTCTGCTTGCCAGCTCTGGCAAGTAAATAGTGTAGCTAAATAGAAGGAAAGCAGAAGATACAGCTATCAACTGCAAACGAATGATTATAAACCAGAAAGAAAATGTGAGGAAGAGCTCTGAAAATTATGATTGGCAGTGACAACACAGACCAGACAGCTTTTATTTTAAGCAACAGATTGTTGGGAACATACACCGTATATCAAAGTGAAGGACTTGAAACCTGCTGTAGTCTGTACAGATGTTCTCACTCAGAAAGCAGCTAGAGGGAACAGAAGATAAAAGAAGGCTGTCCAACTTCAAAAAAGGTTTGAATTTTCATTCTGTTTTGACAAGTTTTTGTGCTAGTCTCTGATTTTCAGATAGAAAATTGAGCATCTACAAACCTGACCTAAAGTGAGAAACACCTGAAGGGGTACAAGCAAACCCTTAAGAAGGTGCTATACAACATCATGAAATTTTTTTGTTGTTGTTTTAGTCTTAAATGCTTTTCTATGGAAGGAGGCAGAAATTGGAAATGCTGTAACAATTGTAGCTCTGGAGCAGGTCATACGTGCTTGCAGTCAGCATGCAGTACCTGGAATGCAAGGCTAAGATCTGAGAGGCAATTTAGGAATCCCTGCTGCAGAAAAGATTTTTTTATGATAAAAAGCAAGACAGGATTACTGAGCTCAGAAGGGTTATTTGTGAATAACTTCCAGCTAAAGTGATTAAGGGCTTCAGCCACTAGCCCCAGAAAAAAAAAAACCAACCAACAAAGAGCATCAGAAACATCCTGCTTGTCATTGCTGCTGGCTTTTTGTTCAATGAGCAAGAGGTCTGTGTTGGTTTTGGTCCTTTGCCCTTGGGGGCACTTTTAACAAAACATAATACTTGAAAGAATTCCAAAATGTGTTTCTTTTTTTCTTTTCTTTGAACTACGAGGTTAAAGATAAATAAAGGAGTATTTTGATATGTCTAAAAAATACTTGTGATAACAAATAGACAAAGCACTTCCTAACGTTCAAGACTGCAATTGCACTTTACAAACATGCCACAGTTCTTGATAACAACAACCCCATCCAGTACTTTTTTTTTTAAATGTCAGATAAAGCACTCCATCCTCTTTTTAAAAATCATCTCTCTAAGAAATGTGAATATCCTCAGCAGAATCTTTGATACTTGTGTTTGGTTTAAAGTTTTGGGGGTTTTAAATTCTAAGTTGCTGTAATATCTGCCAGAAAAAGCAAGAGCCAAGAAACATACTGAAGAGATAAATGTGATGAGTGTAAATTGGTAAGAGGTTCCTCTGGCAATCTCAGATTTGCAGAGAGGAAATTTGGGCTCCTGTAGAGATGAGTTACTCTTAGAGAATTTTACAGTATGAGATGAACAAAGAGACTACCACAGAGTCATAGGCCACCAACTTAAATCCGGCTTCAAAGCATTTCAGATCCTAGTAGGAAGAGATCTGGATATGCACAGAGTAGCACGTCTATTTCTGAATTTATTTGCAAACGTATTCAGAATTCCTTAATATTTCCCATTGCAGGTATCATGCCCAATTATATAAATGTATGTAAAACTACTGATAAACCATCTGAAAGTGATGACAACATGAGCAATTAAGACTGCATCACATCACTGTCACAGCGGGTGGCTGGAATATTGGTGGACAAAGGTTACAATTTACTATTTCAGGATGGTCCATACAAAAAGCCATGAGGAACCTACAGTGATGTGCAGGGAGCACTGATAGCACTTTCTCAGCCATGGAGGTCTAACCAGATGCCAAAACTTTGCAGAACTTTATTAGATTTATTATATTCAGTTTTGTCCTCTCTCTTTTCTGTTTAAATGCTCGTTTTGAAGGACAATATGATCTCAGCATTCATCATTACAAAAAATTGTACCCATTAATTTTGTGGTCAGAGTATCAGACTTTTCTTCAGGGTTACCAATACCAGTTCTTTTCAGAATACAGCCCATAGTAATGACATTCTTCCTCAAAACTACCACTTGTGGCAGCAAGGGACTCTCCAGACCAAAGAAGATCTAAATTTTTTAAGTCTAGAATCAAAAAGTCACCTGATAGCTTTCAGAAGAGAGATCTCTGAAGGGTGAGTGGCTTCTGTTTTAATATGTTTTTTAGTGCTCAACATTAAGCAGAGGATGTTTATTCTACTCCTTTAATGGGAATATTTCATTCAGCAAAAAACAAAAGGTCTAGCATTATCTGTTAATATCATGGTGATTGTGCAGAGAAGCACCCAGCAATGTTTATCCTGGATGATGCAAGAATTGCTGTGGCCATTACATGTATTCACCATGGTTTGCTTTCCCTTTTAAAATGAAGCTGTGCTGTAAGACTGGAGCAAGTTAGTTAGGAAATACTTTGGAACTACATTGAAAATAACTGGCTTGTTAAGGCTTCTCACTAAAAAAATGTGTGTAAAAAGAATGCTCATTAATGAATACTGGTGGCTAAAATCACTAAACTAGCCTTGAGTTCAAATACCAGGTTCCCAAGATCAGGTATAAGCATTAAGTCCTTTTATTCTCATTTGGTTGGTTTCTGTAAACACATCTCTCAAATTGTACCTCTGAAAAAAACACGCCTGACTTCACATTGTCAGAAACACAGTCTCTTCAAGTACATCTATGCAATTTATACAGTGAAAAATTTGAATGAGAAGCACCAAAACGACCTCTTGTCTTTTAAAAAAGATTTTTATTTCTCTTTTTAAATAGCTTGACAAAACCCATCCATTGGTACTCTGAGTTCAATTGTAAACAGTTACAATACATTACCGCTGTGTATTGATTTTGTACATTAACCTACTTGCAAGTGACAAACCATAAGACAAGGCAAACTGAAATGCACTGTACTAAGATGTACTAACAATGCCATAACTGAAAACACTCCAAAGACTGATGTGGAACTCCCTCCTGTGGTGTGAGTGAGCAGCTCCACAGTCAACAGCTTCTGGCAGCCTGGGGAGCACTCCCGATATTCCAAAGTTCAGATTTCAAGTCTGCTATGGAAAACTTCTCTCCCAAGTTAAAAGTGTCACAATACATTTTTAAAATACATACAAAGTTGTAAACATATTTCTCTGGAACAAAAAAAATAAATGGTTTGTGCCAGCCTTCTTCACCTCCTACATTGCAATAAAAAAATAACAAGAATTTAAAAAAAATAGGGCCAAAGACCAAGGCCATAGACTAAAAGTGTGCAGAGATGACATCACAGTTTACAGGAAGTATTGAGTATCAGCATTGAAAATTAGTCACCATCAGGCAGGAGAACCCATTTTCAATAAATGGTTTCACTCAACTTCAAGTGATGAATCAGGCACTAAATATTCAATTTCCCTACTTTTAAGAACAAAATCTTAAATTACATTTAGGAATTATGTTTTATAATAGCTAAAATTGACTACAAACATAAAATTAAACACTGATACTTTTTGCAAGTTTGGGTTTTGACCACTTTTGTTATCAAGTTTATAGCAATCTTCCATAAAGAAGGAATTTGCAAAACAGACTATACATATATAGAGATCACACAAATAAAATGGACCTTTTCAAGGCAGATTTTCTTTGTAGAAAGTCCCTCTGGTCTTTTTCTAAGATGTTTTAGCTTTTAAATTTATTTCGTCATTAATAATGAAATATCCATCTTAGTCTGAAACTTGTATCGCTATTTCCAAAAAGATTAGATAATTGAGATTTTGGGATGCAGTAGAGGATTAATTTCAAAATACAATAGGATTTGCTTTTACCAGTGCAGGCTGGTAAAGGATAGCATTATTCTAGCACTTCTGTGTTTATTATTCTCATTTTCACACTGTCAGGAGATTGATATCTATGACCTTGTAATTTAAGTATGAAAGTTGATCATAAATATCAGTATTTTAATAGGCAACATTTGGTTTATTTTAAAGTTCTATCAAGTGCAGCTCTTCCTTGAGTATTAGAGGCTCTGCAGTCTAAAAAGGGTTCTCCTCCCACCCCTAATTACTGGCTGTGCATCACAGAAACAAGTGGCAGAACACATTTTATTCTGTGCACTCTTAGGGGGGAGAAAAAGGTTTTAAAATATTCATGTGAATGCGCTCTTTAATTTTTTTGAAAAGTTACTCTAAGTTCTAATCTTAATGTATTTTGTAAGCCCCAAATTGCAGCTGCAATTCTCAGCTGTCAGAGATACCACATAATCAAATTAAATATTGGATGTTAATTAAAGCAGCTGTTTTGAAGAAGAAAAAAGCAGAAATATGTCACATTGACTACATATTGCTCTGTCAGTTAAACCACCTGTCATACACCCTAATGAGAGACTATGGACTCTTACATCTCTACATGGTTTCTGTCAATTTGGTGTGTATAATTAATTACAGGACAGTGTTTCTGAGGTGGAACAAAATATCAGCATATGCTTATGCTGAGAAATTACAGGGAGACAAATACGTGCATGACCATAAAAACAAAAGGAGCAGCCTGAAAATAAGACTAGATATTAGAAGAGTACATACAGGCTTGCTTCTTCCAAAAATTAAGTGTGTATACCTATAAGGGGCAAAGGTGGAGAGAAGAAGAAAGGAAGCAAACTTTGGCAAGTTTAAGAAAGTGCTGTCTTTATAGCCCTAATAAGAATTTTTTTAAAAGAGAGAAATAAACCACAAACAACAAACCACCCAACCTCAAACAACAGCAAAACCAAACCCAACACTGAAAAAGCAAAAGGCTAAAAAATGTCTACAGCTAGAACTGTCCCCTGTGCAGGATGATGCAGACACGATTGCCAAGATTGCACTGGCTAAAACCACACGGAGAAGTAACACCACCATCTCTACTGCATTTAGCACTGCAATGTCAGAAAGTAAATAAGCATCCCAACGTCATACTGTGGTAAAACACTTCATCTGCATGCAGAGCTCTGTGCACACACATTTAAAAGTATATTTTCTTTTCAAAGCAGTACACCATATAGTAAATTTTCACTCAAGTGTAACTACTAGGAAATTGTCTAAATATTGAGCATTTTCTTATTTCTTTTCTAATGGCAGAAATAAAACTTTGCTATGTAGTGCAGGAAGGATCCAGACGCTAATCAATGCAATTTTAGATAGCACAAATTGTTTAGTAAAACCCTGACATTTTGCTTAGAAGTAACTTCTTTCTAGAGAAGGATGAAAGACAAAAATACAGAAATACAAAGGCAACTCCTGGTTGAGTATAAAGGTCCCTTACCCCTACTAAGACTGTTATTTTTCTGTACTACAATAATCATCTTAGACAGCCCTAATAGCACATAAACTCAGGAAAGTTTCTACATTGGACATAGTGAAGCCATGGAACTCCACACAAACTGGCTCTTGGCCAAGACACCTTCCAGCTTTTGAGATGAGTTAATATCAAAACATCTGTAAGAGGAGAACAACAACCTAAACCATGTAGTGTTAGATTTATCTATATTTTCAAAGGATGGATGCCATCCTTCAGGTTCCCTATTCTCCCTCTAGACAGGAAAAGCCATTTAAAAATTGTCTGTCAGGGCAGGCAGTTCTGTTAGTGCAAGAACAGCACTTTCAATCCATGGCCTCCCCAGGCTTAAAGTGCAGTATATTACATGAGATTTTAACATACCAAACTATCCTTTATTTGAATTTCAGAAGGAATGTTCAAGTTAAAATTACCCTTTTAAGTTTCAAGCAATAAAATTCAAGGCAAGGTACATAAACTATCTTAAAATCGATTAAATCCACTTATTTAAGTATTCTTTGTATCTTATATTCAATATACATGTAATACACAACAAACATCCATCATTTCACTTAGATATATTGTATTTAAAGTGATCCTGCACTAAGTGATGAAAGGCCACACACTCAAACAAGACTTTGCTTAAAACAGGACTGAATTAGCTGGACTGTGATATGTAACACAATTCAGTATTTCAAGATCTCCTCCTCCATTGGCTTGTCAATTAGAAAACCCTTGGCACTCTGCTGTACACACATTTCAGTTCTAGTTTATTGGTGGTGTCTCTCATGTTTCATTTCCCCCCTTCTTTGAAATCACCATGAAAAAAGGGTGCAGTAAAAATGAATTGATGTTTTTATGCCTTTAGTTACTCCTCTTGCCTATTAACCTGACAATCTTGTATAGAACTATGGTTCCCAAAACATGTAGTTCCCAAATGACATACAGCAGAGAATGTTCCAGGCCAAATCAGTCAGCTGCACAAACAAAGTCTCAAGTAACAACTGCAGGTACAGCTGTGCCAATTAATCCTTTGTACATGAGGTCCAAGCACTCAAGTTTTGGGTGCAGGACTGTGTTCATGCACATCTTAAGGTAAGGCTCACCATACAGGGTATGGCTGTACCTATGGAGCTGCATAGAGAGATTAAGATGAAGTTGCACAACGTTGTCTTTAACAATCAAATCTCCAACAGGCTCCAACCCCTCCCTGCCTTCATTCCTCTGCTTTCAGCTCTGCCAAGTGTTTTTTTGGGTCAAGATACAGGCAGACAGCAGCTTAACACCGTAACTCCAAGCCACAGACATTTGGAGAAGTGTCTTTGTTTCTGGTGTTCTGGGATGTCAGATCCACATCGCTTCAGGAATCTTGAACCTCTGCAACACCACATGTTAAATTATGTTAATACCACTCACACAAGGCTGGTAAGTTCCAGCAGTGGAGATGAGAGTGAATAGCTTGACTAAGAGGGAACTGTTGCTGTCACAGTAATTACTTAAAATACATAATCCAGTATTATTTTGGGGCTTTTGGTTACTTTGTAACAGGTAATTGCATGGTCAAAAGTCTAAAAGTTAATCATTTAAATGCACACCAGGGAAAAGTTATTTTCTAAATTAAAGTAAGTGGCTTTTCATCTCTTTTACCATCCAAAAGAAAGAATCAGCCAATAGGGATCATGAAAACACAACATATCATTTAAAAACTAATATATCTTATTCTCAGCACGCAAGATTAAAAATTTCAACACTTCTCTCCCTAAGACTGATAACCAGCATCTTATCTTCATAATCAAGGACTTCTCTACTCGTGTGTTAACAGTCCAATAACCACCACACTGGAAACTCTACTGGCTTTCCAGGTAAGCTCAGTTCAAACTAAATACAACATAATTTCCTCTTTCCAAGATAAAGCAAGACCAGCTGGCAAAAAGGATACCACCTAGTGTGTGAATCACTGCCATGGCTTTACTCCACATTAAGTCCTCACTTTTAAGTCAGAGTCAAGGGGAAGCTGAAAATGCATCCTAACCCACACACCAATACCTGTTTCTTTATGTGAGCCGTTATAGCATATTAAGCTGACCTGCAACAATGCCCCTTCTGAGAATTTTAGACATTGAGTTCAAAGTTTGACCTACTACACAATGAGTTCTTCCACTGAAGTGTCAACAGGAGCCTATTCCTCAAAATTCTATTCACCAGCAGCTCTAGGGATTTCAGCATTCTTGCCCCATTCTTTGACAAACTTCATTGTCAGAAGCCTGTCCCAAAGCCAAAGTCAATAGGCCCAGAAGTTATTACTGTATTTCAGCAATTTTCAAAGGAAAAAAAAAAACTGGTTTAGAAAGTTGTTTACAGTGTCTATTGTAGCACAATAAAGCTCACAAGGTATTGTTAAATTCAAGCAGTACCATCCTTGGAAAAGAATGCTGCTGAGAATGATCCTGTGTTGAAGATCACCTCCCAACAGCTTTCCAGTTCAAAGTGTTCTAAGGACTGATACATTAGTTGCTGTTGGATTCAGAGCAGGAATTCAATTCTACAAGAAACAAGTTTCATTGGAAATGAGTATAAATAGTAGTAGCCAGAACACTCCACTAATACAAATTCTATAGAAAACAAAGGATCTGTGCTAATCAAATTGGGTTGTAGTTTAGTGTTAACAGCAGACCTGCAGAAGTCCCAGAGTCTGAAGATTATTAAGTTCTTTACAGTCAGATGCAGCTATTCCTTACCAAAAACAAAAGTCCCTATTCTTCCAACAGCCAGTTTAACTAGCAATTATATAACTACTGTTTTTACTTCAGCTATCTAATGCTCACTAAAACCTCAACTGTAACCTTGTCTCTCTTATTTTCTGCTAATATTAAAAATAGTAGTTATTAAAATCTGAGCACTTTTTTTACCTTCACTGCATACCAGAGATCTGCTAGTGCAAAAGCTAGCACAGAGATTACTAGCTGTGTGATGTGAAAATTATTAGTCACATATTGTATATTCAAAAGCATTTGCTCATATCCAGGTGTTTGCTCTGAAGATACAAGGTTTAAGCAACAAAGAAAAAACCATGGTTTCTGGTTGTTTGAGAGTCCCATAGCAGAGCTGTTCAGAGAGGCAACTGGATTAGAACAGGGATCAGGGAGTCCACCAAGCTCCAATGCTTTAAAAAATACAAACTGCAATTCATTCTCTTTACTACTGCTCATTTCTAATCCCGGAAGCCACAGGTTTTTATTATACCGCAAATTTCCCAGCCAGAATTGTGCAAAACATACAAAGTTGTTGTCTCCTGGGCAGCACGAGCTGAAGTCTCCAGAAATGCTACAAGCTTCTTCCAGCCATCCTGTTACTGAAATGCCACCAATGCAGTGAGAAGCCCTATCGAGACTGTCTTTCCCAGAAGAAAAATATGGATGAAATGAATCCTTCCAAGGAGCAGCTGCACTTGAGTTCGTCCCTGCTGATTCACTGAAACTCAAAGGCATTTCCTTGCCAACAGAAGAAGACGGAGGTATAGTATTAAAGAGAGAACAATTCCTGGTGTTATATAATTCTTGTAAACTGCTATTATGATTTTGAGAACTGTCTAACATGGAATGCACGTGTGTCAGATGAGCTGCTGGATTGTTATGATCTGGGCCATTGTCACATACTCGTTTCTGGGTAAAATCTTCTTTCTTCATAGTCCTAGAGCACACGAGCACAGCTTTGCTGCTTCACAACAGGCTGGATTTGAAGTGTGACTGACTCTAGTTGCAGCATACAGCAGAAGCAGCACAGCCAGTCACAAGTCAATGGATCTCAATATGGACCTAAAGAGAAAAAAATGCAGGAAGTTACTACACTGATACCCCAGCTTCCTGATTCCCAGTGTATTGAACAAAAAATAATTTAAAATCTTTCACATTAAGAATAACCCAGCTATAGAAAGTAATAGTTGTCCCAACAGACAAGTCTTCCTACAGGCTGCTTGAGCACATCCAGAGGGGTAGGAAGTATGCTCAAACACCAGCTGCCCTTCTGTAGTTTCAGTTTAATCTGCTACAAGTTCTCTTTTGGTGACAGGCATGAAAGTGAGTCAGCAAATGAGCAGCCAGAGAGATCTGCTGTGTAACAGCAGCGTTTCCCTTAACCAATAAAAACACAGGCTGGGACTGATTAGAGGCTTAACATGAAAGTTAATATTAAAGTAATCCTCCTGTAAACAGAAGTGCAAACTGAAATCAGACACACAGCACTGGAAATCAACAATGTAGGACGAACAGCTTCCCGGAGGGAACTGGTCAGACTGGCTGCCCCAGCACAGTTAGGTATCAGCTGTAGCACAAAGAACAAGCTGGTGGTGTTCCAGGAGAACCATTCTGTACCAACACCGATAACGAGCAAAGACAAGGCTTTTTCAGCTACCAGGGTTACTAGGCTACGTGTGCAACTCCTGGCCATCTGGCTCATTTTCAAGCTTCGGAATTGTAGGGCAAATCCCAAAAACAAAAATAGGAGACGCCACATTTTGATCTCTTCCCATTTAAAATTATCTTTTACAAGTAACAAACTCCCACCAGACTTGTTTTTCAACCCTTGGCCACTGGCCAGATGTCAAAACTTCCATTACAGCTATGTTTACAAGGAGAAAGTGTCTAATTCTTGGCTAGAACAGATGTTTGTAGTGACAGTGCACAGCCTGCTTCTGTTGCAAGTTAAAAGTAAATCTTTCATTTCATCACAAAAACAACGAAACTTCAACCCCACAACAGGTCAAAGATGTGTTACAGAGTTCCACGTTTTGTAGAAACAGGCTCAAAACAGGAGAGATACAAATCAAATCTGAACCATCTTTTTCATGCAATAACATTCCTATTTAAAACTGTCTGCATTTTCCATGCTGCAACTGTTCTTGATTTCAAAAAAACCCAATAAAATGATGAAGGAAATTGTTTTTTCGCTTCTTACAAGATGTCAGGACTGTGCTATCAAAGTGCACATATTCACAATTTACTCCCAGCATTTAAGTCAAAAATGGCTTAGGAAAAGGAACAGGAAAGTGTCACGTTTGCTGGTAACACGCAGAACAAGCAGCACAGCGGGACACTCGCAGCTGGCACCGGCAAGGGCAAGGCTCCGGGGCTGCATCCGTGCACAACCCCAGGGACACTGCCCGGGTGACACAGGGCAGGGGACGGCCCCCGCCCGGCACTCGTCCGGGCGCGCTCTGCCGTTATTCGGGGCAGCGGTTGCGAACCGCCCCGGGCCCGGCCGGTGACACCGGGACACGAGCCCGCCCCAACCCCGCCGCCCCCGCCCACCTGCAGCCGCACGTTGAGCATCATGGAGGCGACGATGTAGAGGTAGGGGAAGTTGATGCGGAGCTTCCAGGCCAGGTCGAAGAAGATGAGGAGGGTCCTAGTGAGCCCCTTGCAGAACACACCGTAGGACCTGGCCGCGGCCGACTGGGAGAGCCTGGCAGCGAGAGCGGACAGAGCCGCCGCCATAAACCCGCCCCCGCTCCCGCGGCCGCGCCGCGCCCGGGCGCCGCCGCCGCCTCCCCGCGCTGCGCGTGCCCGCCGGGCGGGGCGCGCGGCCGGGCGTCAGCACTGCGCGTGCGCGGGCCGGGCTGCCGCAGCGCGCGGCTCTTCTCGCTGCGCATGCGCGAGAGGAGGGCGGGGCGGGGCGCGCGGGCCGTTGACGTAAGGCCGGTACCGGCCCCGCCCTCCCGGACCGCCCTCACGCACCGCCGCCCCGCCCCTCGGCCCGGCCCCGCGCCTCGTGTGGGGAGCGTACGGGGAAGTTCCGGGGTTACCGCAGCGGTCTGCGAGTCCCGCTCCTGGCCGGGCATAGGGCATTCCCCGAGTCTCGCTATGTGCCTAAGGGCGTTGTCCGGACACTGCTGGAACTCTTGTCAGGTTTGCTGCTGTCACCACTCCCCTGGGGAGTCTGTTCCAGCCCCACTCTCTTGGGGAAGAGCCTTCTACTGATACCTGGCTTTAACCTCCCCTGTGTTACCGTGATTCAACCATTTTGTGAGGGCGTGACCCAGGTGTGCTCTCCAGCCTGCTCAGTGACACCTGCACGGGGCATGCATGTCGTGGAATCACGGAATGGTTTGGGTTGGAAGGACCTTTCAGGCCACCCAGTTCCACCCCCTGCCATGGGCAGGGACACCTTCCACTGTCACAGGCTGATCCAACCTGGCCTTGGACACTGCCAGGGGCTGAGGCAGCCACGGCTTCTCTGGGCAACCTGTGCCAGGGCCTCACCTCGCTCACATGGAGGAATTTTCTCCTAACATCTAAATCCACTCTCATTGTGAAATGTCAATAATGGTTTCTGGGTTTGCGTGCTTTTTATTGTAATTTTGTTGTTTACACAGCCATGTGATGAATTCTGTGAGCCAGCTACTGTCACAAGGACACGCTTTGTTTTGCCTTTCAAACCAATTCTTGAGTTACATAATGAATTAAAAATACACTGTTCAGGTCCGGGTTACACACAAGATCTAAAAAACATTTTGCAAACGTTTTCTAGGAAGGTCTTCGAGATAAATTACCATCATGACACTTCTCAAGTAGGCAAAAATGTCTCAAAAGATGAACAGTTGACCAATATAATTTTTGGATGTGGCCCCATTTTTTTTCCCCTTGAACTGTTCTTAACAGTTTCTATTCAATCAGCTTTCAATAACTGAAATGAAACAGAAAAATCAATACATTGATCTAAACTTCTTATAAAATACTAATTTATAGACACAGAATCAAGCTGATGTATAGAGAAAGGAAATTCCAGAGCAGGATATTTAGCAGCTTTCCATTATTAATTGGAAAACCATGTAGGATACACAAAGGTTAAATCAGGAAGCTGATTAACTTTGTATTTACCAGTAGATGTCTGCCAGTCTCATTAGTTCTGGCTTGTGTTGCACATTGCAACAGATGTGACACAGTATCAATTTTAAAATCTTGATGAAGAGTAAATTACTTTCTACACTAAAATAGGCAATATAATTACTAAATTAGGTCATAATAACGAGTTAGCATCAGTATTTATTTGGATCTAATTATTTCATTAAATAGTGAGATTGATAAAACACTCTTTAGCTTTCCAACAAAGAAATTAGCAGATAATGCAATTGAATACCAATTGAAGAGATTTACGATTTTGTCATGTGAAGATTTGGAAATTAGCTAATTATTTTGATAGTGAAACTAAACTTCAAAGGCATCCCACACTTCCACTTTTGATTTCAGCTCTGTCATGGTGGTAAAATCATTTTCAATTTAACTAAAACACTGATTACTTTAGTATGCAGAAGTCTAAAACTATTGACATGCAATTTGCAGCTGATGCCTGTAGAGATCACTTTCCATCACTTCGATGCCATCATCTCACTTTTGCTTCTCAAGCCTGACTTGTGTTTTTCCATTGCATCAGAGAACATCTTTATTTTTTCTAAAATGTTCATGTTTTACTTCATTTTACCTAAAATTTCTTCTCAGGTATTCAGATATTCCTCTATTCAAAGAAAAAAATGTTGTGAGTCAACATTTCTGAGTTGTTGCATTTTCAAAACGTCTCCTTAAGCTTTCTCAATGTATATCCATAATATTTAGTAGTTCCTCATAGGTTTATGAAAAAATTCCTTTTCTTGGCTCTGTAGCATGACACAGAACAATCCTTGTCCTTGAGATCAGATCTCCAGGCCTCTCTCCAAGAACTAATAATGACACAGATAAACTGTGAACAGTGAGTGTGCAAATGAGACAGAGTTTAGGGTTATTTATGCTTACAGTTCTTTCTTTCTGGTGCCTTTTATGTCCACCGCTATGTAAGCAAAAATTACATTAACTGATTGCAAAAGACTGAGTCCAAAAAGGCACTTGGAAGAAGGGAAAAGTCAAATATTTTAGATTGAATAGAATGGAAGTTCAGTTAAAAAAAAAAAAAAAAAAGCCAAATACTTCCAACAAACCCCTTCTTGTGAGTGGGATTTTTAGGAGTGAAAGGAAATTTGTCATCAGCTGTGATGTCCTGTCTGCTGCCACAGTGCCTTCCTTCCCCAGCAGTGACCTGCCAGGACACTTCAGAATCCCAGGCACCCCTCAGAGTTCATTATCCCTGGTGACAAAAGCACTGAGTTTGTGATGACATCGAGCAGAGAGCCCTCCCTCTCCAAAACCTCTGAGAAACCGACCAGCACAACACACTGGATTTGCACAGCAGGACGTGCGAGTTACAGTCACATACCCGGGAGGCCACTGGCGACAGGGACAGCTCCCACACAGCTGCAGGGTTATAACAGGGCTGTGCACAGAAACACAGCGACATTTAAAAGGCACAACACAGGTATTTTTAATCAGTTTATTAAAGGCTGAATCTCACAATAATTCAAAATACCCAAGTGCCAGCAATAAGCAGAAATACCCAAAAATACCCAACTGCATCTCTTGGTAAAACACAAAGAAGGTGGTTGATATATGTCACTGGAATGTTTTACAAACAGAACAATTTTGTAATTTTTATATTTAGGAAGTGAGGAATAAATCAGATATCTTATTTTGAGAAGTTTTCCTCTTCACCAAAATTATAATTTAGCAGCTTATCAGTATAAAATCACTGGGGAAAAAATACACTGACGGTTTTAATACAATTTGTATATTCAATTTACGCTAAAATAAGCTATTTTGTATTTGCTTATTATATCTACTACTCTTAAAAGTTCTTCAGAATTTCCACAAATGGTCTCAGTGAGTAATAGGTACTAGAATATATCATCACTTTTTGACAATTGTCTTATTTCTGTAATAAATGTACATTTCTGTTTCAAATGTTGACCATGCTATATGATGAAGCCCTGAGTTTAATTTCTGGCTTTGATCTAATGCGTCATTTGAAGCTGTCTGGTTTTTGTCTTGCTTTCCACTGCAAGAGAAGCTGTTCAGTTGGGATGTGAGTCCCAGCTGTGCAGCATGACAGGGAAGTAGGCTTCTTCCCATTCCATCTGTTCTCAGACAAACCGACCACAGAAGGTTTGGTGCTTTTTTAGGTCCTAGCTTGTCTGCAAGTCTGGAGCAAAACAAACACTAAATCTTTCTAAGGAAACCAGGGGCCAGATCACAACTTTTGGTTTTATTCATGTGAAAAATGACTGGACAATGGAAGGCAGCAAAACTAGTAATACCAAATGGGCTTATGTCATGGTTAAACCTTTATATCCTTTTTCTTGATATTTTAATGCTCATTTATGTGAAATGCTTGATGTCAAGATAGGCAGAAGTTGAGGGGCACTTGCAGCTTACATGTCTGTGTATTTCAGCAGTGCCTCACCTCAGGGCATGATGTGATGCTTATAAAAGGTTTAGTCCCATATTTCTGCTGAGGGAGTTACAGCAATAAAGAACTGAAGAGACACAGAGAGAAGTCTCAGGTCCTTGTTTATAAATATATAATGATGCCTCTATTCCAGAAAGCTCAGAGTCATATACAGGGATTACTGTTGTGTAGTCCCATGGCCTTCAACAACAGTTGAAGCACTGTCTGTTACTGCTTGCTAAACCTGAGGGTAGACATCAGTGAATGCAAAGCCTTATGTGGTTTTTGTAACTGAAATTCCTGACAGAGGAGAGATTTATCAGAAGCTCCCTGAAGAAAATACAGGACTTGTTTCTGTTTTATACATATACCAGATAAATCATCTATGCTAGAATCACATGAATGGGATGCATTTATTTTACAATGCTTTATTACTAATGTAAAGATTTACATACTAACATTTTATTTTCATGCTGCTTTAATCTGTTCTCTCTGATGCAGCAAATGCTGACATTTAAAAGTTGTGGTTCCTTTTTTATTGCTGGCTTTGGTTTCTCTAGAGCAGACTGACTGCTATATTTGAACAGCGTACATATCACATGCAAGTACAGGGTTTTTTCAACACTCAGGAAGCTAATCATGCCAAAACTGTTTGCCTGGAATATCTATCCATTACTTATGGATTAGAATATTTTCTAACATTAATTTTACGTCATGGTACCTCCCCAAGTTCAGTGAAGATACTCTGAATTTCCTCCTCAGCAATAGTGTCACTTTCCCCAATTAAAAAACTGTGATCCATTAGCTTTACAAGGATATATCAACTAAAGAATTCAAACATCATTAAGCAAAAATCTTAGCATCTCAGGCAGCTGTTAGGTGAGAAGTTTTAACTGTCCAAACAGCTGGAATAAGTACTACTGTCTGGATTTAAAAACAGGGGGGCTCAGAGAGTGACAAGCCAGAAAGGTGGATAATAGCACAGGTGGAACTGGAGTCCAGGAAGGAATTTTGGATGCCCACTGCTGTCTGACATTGTCTTCTTTCTACTAGTTACTATGTACCTAATACTACATCATTAAATACCTGACTTTTGCCACCAACTCAAATTAGGGTCAAGCCTTAATTACAATTCTTAAAGACAATTATGTCAGCTATTTTAAGATGAAAAAGCAACTGGAAACCC